TATGACGGCAGTGTTTAGGCGCTTGCCCAAGCTACTAGAACATTCTCCAACATATCAAAGTTTTTGGTCAATATCCAGATTTGTGGAGAAAGAAAACTAAATATAACAATAATGTGAAATAATCTGGGACAATTCAGTATTATTTCTGTAGCGCAACGAACGCTAATGAATGTAAGGAATGGTAAACCAATACAGCCATTCCCTTTAACTTGCAGACGGATTCATTTCTCTGCAGTACCACCTGTATCACCTGTCGTTCCGCTGATAGTCGAGTGACTCCGAGCGGGTACCAGCAACTCTCCCATTTATCCCTATCGCGTGCAGCTTTTCGCACTGTTATGATGTTTTATATATTCCCAAGAGAACTGAGTGGTGAGCAAAGACACGACCTCAGGCGGGAATCGAACCCACGTTTCATCCTAATCCGAGGAACGCGTGCTCTAGCCCTACACCACTAAGGCACCGAGTAGGGGCGCCCTGGTTATCCAGAGCCTCTATAACCGCTTCTGTTTCCACTGAATCAAAGCCTTTCTTCAGATCAATGAAAGTGGGATAGAGTGGCTTTGACCTCTCGTGAAAACTTTAATAGTCTTGTAATCGTGTGGATGTGGTCTATGGTACTAAATCCTTTTCGGAACCCTGCTTGTTCGCGTGGCTGTACTTCGTCTAGTGTTCTGTCAGTCCTGTTCAAGATGACTCGAGTAAAGAGTTTATAGACACCGGACAGCAAGCAGATTGGACGATGATTGGCTATGTCGAGAAGGTCTCCCTTTTTGAACAACAATGCGGTCTTGCTGGTTTTTCTTGAATAGGGACCTTGCATTCTGACAGGTAGCGAGTGAAGAGCCGAGCCAGGGTGTTGATGAGAATTGGCGGCAGGTTTCTCCAGGTGTTCTGATCTAATCCTGTCTGGAGCGGGTGTTGTTCTGTTCTTCACCGACGATGTAGCATGTCGGATTTCGGAAGGCAGGACCGGTTGAACGAACATATTCGTCTTCTTTCAATTTATATGACGGCAAAAGGGCATTTCCGGGAGCACGTGCTAAAACCGCTGCACCACCAACGCTCTATACGGGCTTTGAAAATCTTTGTTGATTGCGCACCAACATCAAGCTATGACGAAAACGAAGTCGAAGAGGTTCTTTATGGACCTCGAAAAATTCTTCAGAGAAGATCATACATTCTTCAAGGTCATTGTCGGAGATTTTAACGCAAAAATTGGACCTACAAGAACGTTTTAAGAACGTCACACAGGGAGCCGCGGACTAGAATGGAATGAACAGGGTGAGAGGCTGTCTGAGTTTATCATAAAGACTCAAACCATCCAGGTAAACTCGCAATCTCAAAACTTTCTCAGCGATGGACGCCGCAGTCTCCCGATGAGAGGGTACAATAACGAAGTAGATCACATCATAGTAAATCGAAAATTGTGCCTGACCGAGGTCGCTGTCGTTTCTAAGTTCTAGACGGGATCAGATCAATCGTA